AGTGCGTCGCACGGTATTTCCATCAAATTGTCGACCAACAGGCAATCTCTTTACATGTGCATACTCGGAAAACACATCGCTAGCTAACTGCATTCCGATATCTTTACATAAATGTCTGTAATCTTCAAAAATTATGGAAAACTCACCTTGTTTATCGTGTCACACGTCATAGATGGGTGCTCACATCGAGGAACGGAAGTTGCTCACAACATTTTTACCGATGGACATTTTACACTCGTTGTGAGTTAAACGGGCGTGTACTAGGCCGAATGTAAAAATAACGCTTAATATATTGGCTACGTAAATTTTTATAAGCACTGAATTGTAAAACAAAATGATACTCGTCTTCGAGCTCGGCATCACAGAACTGACAAGTTCTTTCGTGACGTTCTACACGGCCTTGACCATACCTTCCGGACTCAATTCTTAGTCTGTGAGAGGACACTCGAAGGCGTGTAAGAGCGCTTCTAAATGGTTTACAATTAATCTTATCTAAATATAATTCATAACAGAACTTTTACATATGAATATAGATGTCTGAACACACCATTACTAGATACATCTGCACGCCATACTTGTAAGTAACAATCGATAAGTCTTTTATGAACTGTTTCACCAATACACTGTCGGGAAAATTCCATATTTCGGGAAACCAAGTACCGCAAGCAGTTTTTTAATTTTACATGGCCAGTTATTTGTGCCATTTTCACATTTGTCACGGACATTATCGTAAATGCATTTTAATATAATGTTATCCGTAATCATTTATTTAAACCAATACTTTATTGTATGTGTAAACCTAGTAATAAATAACGGATACGTCCCTAATCCCCTATAGACCGACACGTTACTTGTACTTAATTTAACGCCCAAAATGATTTTACAGTATTTGAGATGTACACTTTCTATCTCTTTAGACTTAGTAAAACCCAAACCGGACAGGCAAATAGATCCCACAAAAGCATCAAACAATTGTAGTGATATCGAAGGGCTAAGTTTATATCGTTTTATATTATTTAGCAGTATATTTGAGGCTTTTAAGGCCTTTCCGACTATGTACTGGTTATTTAATATAATTAAACACCACCCCCAGGTAGTTAAAGTCATTAACTATTTCTAGAGGCACATAATTGAAATGCCAGCGTTCACTACATTTTAGCCCACGCCTACGACGGAACACCACTATCTTAGTCTTAGATGTATTAACTTCTAGGCCCCAGTACTGGCAGTACTCATATAATTTTTCTAAACTGGCCTGTAAATCTTCAACAGAATGTCCAATATTTGCCATATCATCGGCGAATAGCAGTATGATAAGGCACATATCATAAATAGATAAACCTGATTTACTGGATCCTTGCAGGAAAAGTTCCAAGTCTTCAAGAAAAAAGGCCAAACATAATTATAAAGGCCTTGTCTCAACCCAATGGAAATATTGAAAAAATCAGAATAGGAGCCAGAATGTTGAACACAAGACTTAACTATATTATACATAGACCTAAACATTTTTAAAAGTTTTCCATCCAACCCAAGATGATGCAATTTTAACCACAGTGCCTGTCGATAAACGGAGTCAAAAGACTGGGACATGGCGATTTGTTTCGGCCGAGTCGCTTGACTGCAGCGGTTACCTCCCCTAGTGTGATATTTAAGATCACCGTATGTAGGATCAAGTACATTTAAATCACTATTTTCGTTAACATTTTCAACCTCATTTATAACAGTTGTCGGAATATTATTAAACAAATCTGAGAAATATTTTTTAAAATGTTAGACTTTTATATCATTTTGACATGACTATTTATTACATTTAAAATGTTTCCAAAACTCAATGGATAAAAATTAATCAATCAATGGGCATACTCTGGAGTGTGAATAACTAATACCTGCACCCCTGTTAACGCAATGAGCATGTTTATGTAATCGATTTGACTCTGACACATTTTCAACATGAAGATCCCCAAACTATGATACTATTTATTATATCGAAGCAATCAATATTCAGGATCTCAATTAAAATCTATAAAATAAATCTTGCACGCAGTATGCGGGTGAGCGGCGTTTGGTTATGTTAGCGAGCCAAAACGCGAAGCTTACAAGATGAAACAAAAAAGCATCTTAAACAAATATCATCTTTTTGTTATCATCGGTTTCTTAAGATGTATAAAGCTATATATCTGCTGCAAAATTATTTTTTTTCAATTTTGAAATAAAATATTTCCAAAATGCTTGCATGCAATAGATATAGTAGTAAATTGCATTAAAAATGGATGGGTTATGCAAATAACAATTGATAAAGAGACAAAACCCTACTTTAAATATCAGAATAATATTTTGTTAAGAACATTTTTAGTCTGTTAACGTACAATTATCATATGTGTTAAATAACAGAGACATTTTATGTAACAGATCTTTTGAGAATCTACCATAAGATTATGGAAACAATATAATTTTACTATTGATTAATTTTATACAAATATTTCATAAGCTATAGATTTGTACCTTTTAAAGTATTATTATTTCGCTTCTGTGAAATGTTCCCTTCACAAAATAACATTCCATAACGTAATCTTATTTGATTATGTCATTAATTTTAATTTAGATATTTTGTAATGTATATTCTATGTAAGACGACCTGAAAGAAGTAATTATTGAAATTAATCGATAGTCTGTATTGTTCTGACCTGTGATTGTGTAAGAATAACTAAGGTTATACCTGTCATATAACATTTGTGTTCAATTTAAAGGTTTTTTCAATATTAAAACTTAATTATTATATACGTAATATATAATTTATCACATAAAAAGTTGCGTAGATGAGGTATTTATTAATGTTATCTCAACATGTATGATGACTACTATTGAACAATTGAATAAGTACAGGTCGAAAAAGGGCATTCCAAACCTTTAAGAACGTGGGGTATAGGAATCATGTAGGTAGATTTATGCACCTGCGACAATAACATGCTCACTATACTTACAAAATTGTGGATTTATATACACTGTTTGCAGGAATACAAATGCCAAATTCCTAGCTGCAATATTTGGTATTTTCCTAGTTTTCGTTTTCTAATCGGAAAATTACCATAGCTAAACTGACCGCGTCATCAATAAATAAAACCGTAGGACAGTTTTGGCATTGACGAATAAGAGAGCTGTCAAATGCGAGTCTGAATTTACATATCAGAGTGATTTGATGTTAACAAATCATGAAGTTATTCTGTTTATGCTTTGAGAGCAATTACGTTTGACTATGAACAAATGTATTATATACAAAACTTTCCAATATTTCATGCAAAATATTTACAGGTTATAAAATCTTATATATTAAAATTAAATTATTAATGACATCTTTGTCGTGGTATGTTTTAGTTTATCACAATTTAATTTAAAATTAACGTATTATTACAGCTTAATTTTAAATTATTTCATTTCTTTACTTTTTCCGATTTTTTTTTTAATTTCAATTATTTCCAAATCATTTTATTGTCTGAAAGGTTGACAGTTCCATTACTATATATCTGACAATTGCCTTTGAAGGTCGCTTTATTTAACATTGCTTCAATATATTGGAAAGTAGCTCAATAATGAAAATATTCATCAGCTAGAAAAAAAAGTATTTTACTGCTTGAGCAGTACTTAATTTTCAACACTTAAAAGTGCTGGAATCGACCAGAAAAATATAACAACACTGAAGTGAAGTAGTGGATAAGTTTTAACGGCTGCCACACAGTACTTGACAAGTTTCTAGACTACTAAAATAGAGAAAAAGAGAATCCCTAAAGAAAGCCGAACACGACAATATTGAAAATATTGCAGGCTCGGTTTGATTAAGCCTGTTCATGGACGGTACTGGAAAGTACAGTAAGTAAGTAAGTAAGTAAGTAAATTGTTTATTATCGTGACATGTGCATTAACATAATTACAAATATACATATCATATAAGTAAACATAAAACTAGGCACCCGGCCCGATGGGCCTATATGTCACCATGGCAAATGATATTCATTATAACATGCTATAAAATATGAAATACATTTATGAAAGTTCTTAAGATGATATGGCGGTTTACTTCACAATTAGAATAAATAATTTGAACAGTCATATCTTAAAGTCCTCAAGATTCATGAATACATAACAGATCTTCTAGAAAGGTAAGTTACCGTTCACGCACCTAGCACCGGCTTAAGCAGAGTTTAACATTTTTACACGAAAATGGTGAAATTTTGAATTTAGAACCATCCGCAGATGTGTTCATACGGCAGTTATTATGAGAAAGTTTCAATGAGATATGGTTTTAAATATAAATCTGCTTTTAATTAATAAATTTAACAATTATTTGATTTCATAAGGTTTATTTTGAAACGCACGAATGTGTCAAATCAACCATACGGTTGCTCAACATTATATTTTAGCCAGCATTTTACACATACTTCCAAATAAGTGTTATTTTAATTACCGTTTGAAGGCGCCTTGTCCTATTTGTTAGTACAATAACGCATACAAGTCTTTATCATTTCCTGATCTAATGGTGTCATATAGCACTCAAAGGAAGCAGGTGAAATTTGATTCAGATACATTTTATGGAGTTTCAAGTGGTGTTTCGGTGCAAAATTGGCATTACCTCATAAAATGTGGCTTATTCACATGTTGTCTGCCTTTTTAGAAATTTAACACGAGTTGTCTGAAAAATGGCTTATATCAAATACAACAAGGTAAAACATGACTTAGTGAATTCATAAATACCGACGAAACACTTTGCTTTCCATACGGTTGCGGGGTAGTTATTCTCGCGAATTATTTTGAAAAGCAAGCATTTCGCTGAAAATATTTTGAAAAGTAAAAGGGTATAAAATGTGATGTCATTGCTTCCTTATGCGCTTACTCGTGTCAATTCCATTTTCTAGAAGAATATAATGTTTTTTTACTAAAAGTGTCATTCGGTCCGTTCAAATATTACACAGATTTGGTGTAACAACTGCACAATTCCTGCGTAATTTAAACATTCATAAGTTACGGATATGCATGTTGTGTCTAAAAGTAAACGATCGTTTTTAATAAAGTCTGATTGATATTCATGGCGTTTTGAAATGTTACGGTATAATATATAATCAAACAATAGAAAAGAAAATAATATAATCACTTTATTTTTGCTGTCATCATATTTTCTACAAGATAAAATCAATTGCAAAAACAAGTAGTGTTTTGCATTACATATGGGTGTAAGCAATAAATAAATCAAATAAATATATGTATTTTTGTGAAATTGTTCAAGATGTAGCATGTCGCCTTCAAGTGCATATTGTATATACAAGTTATTAAAACTATTCATAGAAATTCTGTCAAACGGCTACACATATACTGTATTTAAGTTTTTACATCATCCTGGTATTTTGTTAAACCAATAGTTTTATATATTTACTGATAGAGTCCAAATGATAGGCACTAATTAAACATATACGTTTCACTGAGTTTCAAATTTCCGTCATTCCAATAATGATATATATTAGATATAGTAAACATTTGATTATACTGATTTTAGAATCATTTGCAGCGTTACAGTTACTAGTTGAACAAATTTCATAACAAAGCATTGTTTTGTCCGCTTGGGGCATACATCCCGAACCTGTCCATACCCCCGTACATCCACGGATAAACTGAATCAAATAACCTGTAATTCAAAGCAAATTTCACATTGGCACTCGCCGTTTATTAAATAAAAAGTAAGTTATATGTAATCCAAATTATTCTTTGAACCAAAAAAGTTATTTAACCAATAGACAGTACTGATTTCATCCGTAAAAAGAGAATAAAGGGTCAATGATACAATTTGGGTAATAAATAAGTCATATATTATGAGGTATTAAAGGGATTATATACTTGAAAAAAGAAATATGGAAAAATATTGATGAAACAAACGTATTTTCATTGTATTATTTTAACTGAAAACATTTATTTTTCACTGCAGTCTTGCCGGACTACTTTCTTCTTAATTCAGCCAATACATAAAATTATAAGTGAAGTCTGTGGAATTCTTTGGTCAAAAAAAAGAAATAATATATAATAAACAGAAAATTCAAGTTTTCCTATAAAAACGTGATTTTTTTCATCTCATGTTATGACAATTATCATAGTTCACTCATGTCTACTGCTACTTGTGAAATGTTTATATTAAATGAAAATGAAAATATATTCTGCATTTATTGAATATTTTCTATTTATTTAACGTTGAGATATATGTATGTTTGTTAATATCACTAAGAAAATATCTTACTTCATGGATAAACTCTCAAAGATTAATACCTGATGTATTTGTTTTCTTTGCTTTCATACAATTAACAGGTCCTTTCTGATTTGCCTGGTATGCGTTACATGGTTTAGCAGGTGGCGGATTGATTGCACAATCTTCAAGCTCATCCGACACACACTGTGAACATTCTAACGCTCCTAATACATCTGAAATTAAAGTTAAGATAGATCAAGTCTGTTTGTTTCCTAACAACCTTCTTGTAAAACATTCTTTTAAAGTAGTTAAAATGGAATTTTTAATGGCACATGCATCAGAAACGATGCTTGTTACCCAAGGAATGTATCTCTAATTATGAAATCATTTTTCATAAAAGTAGCAAAATGTAAAAGGGTAGTATTTGATGTCCATATTTGACTTCCATACAAAATACTAAATCTCTGAAAAAAACTGTACTCACAAGAAACAGATTGTTCAGGTAAATGGCCAATGAGCAACGTTTTTGAAAGTAGAAGAGTTCACTACATATTAAAGCTTTGCGAAATAACAACAAAAGTATTTTTGAGGCATAATGGGACTTAAATGGTCAACAAACATTTGTAAAAAAAAGATTTACCTTTCAGTATCGTCGTCAGAACACAATAAAATAAGATTTTATCCTTTAGCTCCATAATGTACCATTTTATCTAACGTATCACAGCAGATAACAACATTAAACGTTACACAGCTGCTTGTAAAATGCTCTAGAATACTCACTCCAACAAGAGATACTAAACATCGTCCGATATCCGTCTCTCATAGTAGTAAGACGTTAGACTATAACAGAATATGTTAATATAGTAAGAAAACCAATACAGATAAATACTACATTTGTAAAATACATATGGTCCTCTAATTGCAAAGAAGTTCATTCATTATCTTTAGGACATAAAGTGTTGGCAGTAAGCATATCTACACCACGTTTATTATCTTTACATTTTAGGATGTATAACAATCATACTGGTGCAATTTAAATCAAAACAAGATAAAGAAAATGATTCAATTCATATATAAATTTCTTTACTTTGATTACGTTCAAAACAACGGCATCCAAGGAATGAATATGTTGATGTCAATTGGTTTCATTGTTCATTATTTACTTACTTAACAAGCAAATTACTAGTACTAGTGCGAGTACTTTCTTTGGTCATGTGATAATATTCTACATGTATATAGTACCACTAACCCTTCGCTAACACAAAAAAGTAGCTATATGAATATTTGCTAGATTTTAACATAGAAGCGCGAAAAGTGTACATTTGTATAGATAGCAATGGGACAATTTAAAAACATAAGTATGATTTGCCGTTAGATAGAGAATTTTAAAAATATTAACTTTATTCAACTTCATAACCTCTGAAACCCTTTCTAAATTCCATATTGATTATTTCCAGCCATCGCCCTCTCGTGTTGAAATTAGGAATGTAACAACACTTAATTGAAATTTTATATATGTTTATAATTATTCTTCTAAAAACTTTTTCCAAACATCCAAGAATATGTTAATTATGTACTGCAAATGTTTACACGCATTATAAGTAATCTATTAAATACATGCATTTATTTCTTATTGAAAACATTGGCTTAGACTTTGTCGAAAATTAATTTCTAATTAAATGTAAATTCTGATATATCTTTAAAAATAATGATTTTAGGAACTTACAATATTGATAGATCTTCATTTGAGCATCATATTTATGATATAATACCATAAAAATGAGTTACAGGACACATAAATTTACTTACTTTGTGACCATAGAATTGAACGAACATGTCACATTGGAAGCTGCCATGACTATCGAAGTATGAAAACATCTGCGTTGTTTTCAAATAAAAAACTTTGCTTTTGTCATGTTTAAATGTTGAATTCTGATTAAGTCGGTGCTAGAGGGTGGTGACGGTAGCTTTCCAGTACCGTCAATGAACAGACGAGAAAACAGAAAAGAAAACGAGCCTACAACATTTTCAAGTTTGTCGTGTTTTTTTTTTGTTGTTTTTTTTGTTGTTTTTTTGTTGGTTTGTTTTTTGTTTGTTTGTAGTTTTTTTTATTATTTGGCGTTCTTATGAATACATTTTTTTCTATATTATCTTTTCTGTACATTTTTTCTGATCGGAATACCCTTACCTTATTTCTTATTTTTCAGGAATATAATTAAGTGATTATTAACAGAACTAAATCACTGGAACACTGTTACAATTTAATAGTTTCTAAGATATTAGCTATAAGTTATCAAAATATTTAATTGTTCTTCGTTTCATCCAACCTAGCTTCAATGTTTGAATAGTGGAATCATCTTTGATATTATTCCTTCTCGTCAAATAATTTTCTTGGTGCCTTTGTGTCTAGATCGATTAGATTTTTCTCACTTCCATGCGTCAATCATACAAACAAATATTTCCCTGGTCATTATGTTATTGCTCCTCCAATTTGTGATTTCATTATTGTTCATGTCCACAAACGTTATCGGAGTACATAAGCGGATTGATTTGGATCGGTTGTTTTGTATTCGGCAGCTTACAGATTTAGTTCTTTGCGACGTTTACCCAATTTTGATTATATTGTACACTACTCTTGCAAAGCCTTCCATTAAAGAATTGGAAGATTTGACGGCGTGATTATCAGATATGTAGTGGTGTTTATAAATAAACTTCAAAGGTCATAATTCGATATTTTTCCCAAACACTACCCATATCGGCAACTGACCATTGCATGATTGAACTAATCGAATAGGATTAAAATAGTTTAGTGTTCAAACAACTTTGCGGGGTCAATATGCATTTCTATAACCATTTGCGAGTTAAATATGCGTCAAAATACATTATGAAGTTTCTGATATTGAATAGCTTCAAGTAGAAACTAACAGTGAAAGACGTCTTAAAACCATGTGCCGCGCCGGAGATATGCACGCAATCAGCCAATGTATGTACACCTGTTATTATTACCATTGTTATTATTACCATTGCCGAAACGACTGAATCACATCCTGCTCATTATATCTAAACTCATTAGATTTATGTTAATCTTAGAAAAATAAAAATCTATGTTATTTTGCTCATGAATAAGTTCCGTAATGGAATCTCGTGTTTACAAATCATAATTTGAACACTCGAATTCCCCGCGTCTTCGTGTCATTGAATTTTAAAGATTGTCGTCAGACAGAAATATAAATTTGTTGACTGCGCATTTGATCATCATTTACATATTTTATATTTAAAATGTTTGTGTTCAGGTTAATACTTTCAAGGTTTACAGAAGTAAGATGCGTTAAACCACGTTTTTAAAGAATATTTGAGAAGTTTCATTGACTTAATAGCAAACCGAAATCAAATCATTTATAGTTATTGTAATTGTTTTCACATCCAATAACATAGGAATATGAAATAACGCATCAAATGTTCGAAAGTAACACCGACTATGTGCAAATCAATTGCCAAATTGAGTAACACAGTAAGTAAACGGATCAAATATATCATAATAAATCAAAAAGAAGGAAATCATTTAGCGCATACGGCTGCTTAACCAGCATTACAAATATTAAGAGGAAAGTCAATACTTTTTTAAGACCATTCGTGAAAATGACAATCTATTTATTGAAATCATTAGAACTATAACGCATATAAAGCTGTATTGTTTTGCTTTTTGGTATACCTGAGACATTTACCAAACTGCACGTGTTTCAAAATACTGAAAGGAAACACATAAAATTAGATCCAGACATTTTTATGAGTTAATCGGCGTAGCTTTATTGCATTATTCGTTATATCGAAGTAATACCTCATAAAAATGTCTATGTCACATTTTTTCTGTTTATTTCATTATTATATGACACGAGTTGATTTGCAAACGTCTTGAGTATACCGAATATCAAAAAGCAATAGCAAAATACAACAAACGATAACAACGAACTAAATACGGTAGCCAAGACGTCATTTTCACGAATGATCTGGAAAAAGTAAACATTTTTCTGAGATTATTTCAATGGTGTTTGAGATTCAATGTTTTAGCAGCTGTATGTGCTAATTTATTTTTTTCGGTTTGATATACTGTGATTTTTTTTTATTTTACTTACCGTCATGCTCCATTCTTTCATAGATTTGTACAATTCGGCATAACTATTGCAAATTTTCTTATGTTATATTCATTACAATCTTGTGTTACTTGAAAAATACGGTGCCTATATTCCAAAGAAATATACATATTTATGATTTAAAAGCATAAACAGAATTTTGGTATCTTTAGATAAAAAATGAAGTTTTGTTTATATTTTGTCTTTCTCCGAGATACATGTAAATGCAGGCAGTAAAATATTTAGTGTTATGAGAAGAGACATTATGTTAAAATTGTTAGATGAGGCAAATTATAAAAGAGATTAACAAGATATTTACCATTGTAAAATTATGGTTTCTTTCAGACCGGGCAATTCTGAAATTAACGTGCGTAGTTATAAGCGAATACTTTATGTTTGATATAGACAACTTGGCGCTTTACATAGCACGTATTGTATATGGCTCGGCAATATTGCGGGATACCAATCAAAAGGAATCTCATCTTTTCAAGTTGTCGAACATTCCTTGTGATTGTTTTGGAGTGTGATTCATATCCCGATTATAAAACACTTTCACTTGTAGCGAAACAAGACTGCTTTTGATTTATTTTTGGCAATGCAAATGAATGCAAACAAAACATACTCCCAAGTTATTAGACACGGTTATTCTCAGAAGATTGTATTTGAAAAATAAAACACGTAAAGTAATGTGGCATCAAACATAATTTTGTATGACAAAACTATCTAGGTTTTTTTTATATTCTTTTTCATTTTCCTAAAAGAGAAAGAAAGAGTAACGGAGCTTTTTAATATCAAAGGGAAATACTGACATATTCTTAGACTTTTTGTACTGTGATATAGTATCAATACATCCTAATCACTTTAAACATACCTCTATTTGTCCCTAGGTCATCAATATATTATATAACATATTATAAAACATATAATCGTATGGTGACAATAAATATACAAACCGAGTGAAAGATTAAAATATTTTGAACAAACATGCATGCTTGTAAAATGTATCAAGCAAATACCATCCAGTTAAAGCTGAGTGGATGTAATTAATATAGACAGAGAAATGTCCAAAGTTGGAGTGGAATATAAATGGAAAGATGACATGCTCTATGAAATGTCAGATAATATTGAAGGAATATCACGAAAAGAAAGTCATAAAGTAACAATACATTTTCCTTAAATCGAAAACAGAGCCAAATTCTTGCAATAGCTGAACTGACATCACATTCCCGATTGTTATTGTGAAAGGAGTAATGATTTATGCTCTGTTCAAATGACATTTTGCCGGTAATTTGATTGAAGGAGCTCTTTCAATTTTACCAATATTGACAAAATGTCCATTTTTATGCTTCGCCTTTTAATAAAACAGAAGAAAATTGAAACTAACCAACAACGCTTTTTGGGCATTGACTTCTGATTCCGTTTAAGGCAGTTATTCCACCAAACGCAATGAATAACAGCGATTCGTTTTTGTATAAACCAAATTATGTTTCAGTGATCTGGTTGTCTGCTATACGTATATATTTCATATTTGAAATATTTTCTCTAGAATGTCATGCAACAGCATACATTTGAGATCATCAAACACAATTTTTAAATTTAAACATACAAAACGATGAAACGCTCTAAAAGAGAGATGAGTGCATAAGACAACGACTTAATTAAAATAAATTAAGTGAAATAAGGCAA